AAAACAAAAACAAAAGAACATTGTAAAGTGGTTATCCCACTGGCTATAAGGTGAATGCACCAATTTGTAAGTCGCTCTGGATAAGAGCGTCTGCTAAATGATGTAAATGTAAAAAATGTAACAGTGAGGGTGTATTTTCAAAAGGACTCTGACGGTCAGGTTAGTCAGACCTACAGTAGTATGCCTTAATGAGCTTCTTCATGAAAGGATGTTAGGATACTGCTTTCAACCCTCATCTTAACATCCATATACAGTGCCTTCGGAAAGTATTCAGACCCCTTGACTTTTTCCACATTTTGGTAGGTTACAGCCTTATTCTAAAATTGATTAGATTGTTTTTTCCCCCTCATTAATCTACACACAATACCCCATAATGACAAAGCAAAAACAGGTTTATAGAAATTTCTGCAAATGTATTACAAATAAAAAACGGAAATATCACATTTACATAAGTATTCAGACCCTTTACTCAATACTTTGTTGAAGCACCTTTGGCAGCGATTGCAGCCTAGAGTCTTCTTGGGGATGACGCTACAAGCTTGGCACACCTGTATTTGGAGAGTTTCTCCCATTCTTCTCTGCAGATCCTCTCAAGCTCTGTCAGGTCGGATGGGGAGCGTCGCTGCACAGCTATTTTCAGGTCTCTCCAGAGATGTTCGATCGGGTTCAAGTCCGGAATCTGGCTGGGCCACTCAAGGACATTGAGACTTCCGAAGCCACTCTTGCGTTGTCTCGGCTATGTGCTTAGGGTCGTTGTCCTGTTGGAAGGTGAACCTTCGCCCTAGTCTGAGGTCCTGAGTGCTCTGGAGCAGGTTTTCATCAAGGATCTCTCTGTACTTTGCTCCATTCATCTTTCCCTCGATCCTGACTAGTATCCCAGTCCCTGCCACTGAAAAACATCCCCACAGCATGAAGCTGCCACCACCATGCTTCACCGTAGGAATGGTATTGGCCAGGTGATGAGCAGTGCCTGGTTTCCTCCAGACGTGACGCTTGGCAGTCAGGCTAAAGAGTTCAATCTTGGTTTCATCAGACCAGAGAATCTTGTTTCTCATGGTCTGAGAATCATTTAGGTGCCTTTTGGCAAACTCCAAGCGGGCTGTCGTGTCTTTTACTGAGGAGTGGCTTTCGTGTGGCCATTCTACCATAAATGCCTGATTGGTGGAGTGCTGCAGAGATGGTTGTCCTTCTGGAAGGTTCTCCCATCTCCACAGAATAACTCTGGAGCACTGTCAGAGTGACCATCGGGTTCTTGGTCACCTCCCTGACCAAGGTCCTTCTCCCCCGAATGCTCAGTTTGGCCGGGCGGCCAGCTCTTGGTGGTTCCAAACTTCTTCCATTCAATAATGATGGAGGCCACTGTGTTCTTGGGGACCTTCAATGCTGAAGAAATTGTTTGGTAGCCTTCCCCAGATCTGTGCCTCGACACAATCCTGTCTCGGGGCTCTACGGACAATTCCTTCGACTTCATGGCTTGGTTTTTGCTCTGACATGCACTGTCAACTGTGGGACCTTAAATAGACAGGTGTGTGCCTTTCCAAATCCTGTCCAATCAATTGAATTTACCACTGGTGGAATCCAATCAAGTTGTAGAAACATCTCAAGGATGATCAATGGAAACAGGATGCACCTGAGCTCAATTTCGAGTCTCATAGCAAAGGGTTTGAAGACTTATGTAAATAAGATATTTCTGTTTTTATTTTTAATAAATTTGCAAAAATGTCTAAAAACCTGTTTTCATATTGTCAATATGGGGTATTGTGTGTAGATTGATGAGGACCATTTTTTATTTAATCCATTTTAGAAAAAGGCTGTAATGTAACAAAATGTGGAAGTCCCGTGTAGCTCAGTTGGTAGAGAATGGCGTTTGCAACGCCAGGGTTGTGGGTTCGTTTCCCACGGGGGACCAATATGAAGAAAAAAAATGTATGCACTCACTAACTGTAAGTCGCTCTGGATAAGAGCGTCTGCTAAATGACTAAAATGGAAAATGAAAAAGTGAAGGGGTCTGAATACTTTCCGAATGCACTGTAGGCCGTTGTCAAAGGGATTCGTGATTTTTTAAGACAGTTGCTCTTTAATGCTGATGCTCTGGTTATTAGGGAAATAAATATATGTGCATCCCAAATGGCACACTATTCCCAAGAGTGCATGGGCCCTGGTCAAAAGGAGTGCACTAAATTGGGAATAGGGTGACATTTGGGACGCACGAAAAGCCCTTGGTGCTAAGAGATCACATCCCTTTTTATTCCTAGGAGAGAAACTGTGTCTCTGAGCTCTTGGAGAAACAATGTAAGACTGTGTACACAACAAGGAAGTGATGCCAGGTACCTAACTGGTCCTGCTCCATAAGAGTTCTTGTTGTGGTGAAATGTGATGTTCCACCTTGTGCCAAAGCCTATTTTCCTCTACTTAGGTTTATCAAGCACGAGTCTCATTGAATGAACTCACATAAATGTGAAAGTAATTATGTTTCTGGATTCTGGTAGCTTTTTGGTCTCAGGTACAGTTCATTACTGTGTACTTCAAAAGTTACTAAGTTTGACTCGGTAGGCAATCACCCCAATAAATTGCTTTGAAGGTAGTTGTTCAAAGCAACAGGAAAATCAGAGGCATCTCTGTGTCACTGATTTCATCTCAGCCAGCCTCTGTGTTTCCTCAAGCATTTCAGCAAAACGACTCATCACAAGGTACTCCTAAAAACAACTCTTGATAACCCCTTTTTCTGACTCACAGAACTTGCAGTTCATGGATGGTGAGGTTTGAATTATTCAAAGACCAAAGAGCAGGGGTGTCTATTCCAGTATGATGAAGAAAGAGGACAGTTCTGAATTATGTGTTCAGTAAAGACACATGGTGGCACCAATTCCACTTCTGTTCAGGTAAATTGCATTTTATGGTCTAAGCACAGTCATTTTATTAACAGAGTCAATCCAGAAAACGACAATAGAAGAGCGTTCATAAATGATTTGAGGCCAAAACAGTTGGAACACTATTGGAAACAGTCTAGTCTACCAGGAAATTATTAGACATCGAGATAAATCTAGTGGTCAAACTAGATACAGACAGTATGCAAAACATGATGTAATTCATCAAATACACGACATTGGCCCAACACTGGAACACAATACTGTCTGCTACTTTACACTCTCCTCTGGCAACCATTAGTTATTATGTTGTGAGTCAACATAAAGGCAGGCAGAGGTGTTGTGGACAGATGAATGATGAGTCTGACCATTTCTGCTGCAGTATACTGATGAAGCAGTCGTCTACTTGTTCAGCGCCCATCAAGACCAAGCGTCAGAACAGTATGTTCCTACATATTCTCTTCACACAAGGATAATTGTTTTACTTAATGTTTACTATATCAATGCTTTTTGTATGACACATTTAAGCTTGTTAAAGAAAAATAAAAGAACATTGCATTTAAACATGGGCAAGACTATACTTTCCTGCGTAATCAGGATGAGTAATCTCTTTTACTGCTCATATTCTGTCTACTATAGACTAAAACAAAGTTAAGGGGTACAATTTAGGGGAAAATAATACATTTAATAATAAATTATTCACTAAGCCCAGTCAGAGACAGTCATTCCTCTATACAATTATAGAAGAGCTAAGGGAATGATGCATATCGTCCTAAAAAGCTCTTCATTCAAACCAGAGGTTCAGGACAGTATGTCATCGAGGTCCATAAAGGCTGACTCAGTGCTTTCACAATCACCAGCCCAATACAACAGCAGGCAGTGAACATTATCATGTACTGAAAAACATCCTGGACTCTCTCCCCCATCTAGTCCCACTTCACATGACAGACCATGCTGTGCTGCTGAACAAGGGATTGCCAACAGAGGTTATAGGTTCAACATCTATAGACAGAGTTGGCACTTGGGAACTAGAAACAGGCCGCTTTATTACCATTGTCAGAGGAAACAAGGAAAGAAATGTTTCCTTATGTTGTGAACTTAAATCCCAATGCAGCCTACATACATTTAGTCCACCATAAAATAACATGGTTAGATTAAGATAAAGATATCTAACTGTATCAGAATCCATGTAGCCATAGAAACTGATCCCTGAGTGTTTGAATGAGAAACATGGTTGAGTAATCAGTTATATCGTTCTTCTTCGTTACAGTGGATTGCTTCAGTGAATGTAAAATCAGACACAGAAGAGATGTAGGGAAAATCTGTCCGAAGCCCATCCTGATCTCTAATAAACAGCTATCCACCGACAAATCACTAGGTTTCACATTTGATCATGTATTGATTTGTTTTTGATATGGAAACACTTTCCTTGCTGATGTATGCTGTGAACCATCAGTTAAGAGAAGAATGAGACGACGTCGTGCCTCTAGGCCAGAGACACTTCCATGGATGAAACAAACACTGTGGCATAAAAGTGTTTTACTATCACTATACCAGGTTTGTTTAATATTTCACATTCTACGTTTGTCTCACAGGGGAAGAAGAATATTCAGAAAAGTGTCAAACTTGGGATTACTGTAATTGAAAAGTTATATTTCGTTTGAAGAGATTCAAGAGTTTTCAGAATTGTTGTTTTCTTTAATAATTGATTCAACTGTTGTGAAGTTGTCCTGTACCGTCAGAGTCAAGCTGTTTTTTCCATCAACTACCTCAGACAAACTGCTTTTCTGATCTTCAGTTCAACTTTTTTGAATCTCCTCCTTTATGAAAAAAGCAACAAAGATGTTATTTCCATCTGCATCAGTAGTCAGTCACATTGCTAATATTTCACATTTTATTTGTTGTTTGCATCATCAGGACATACCTTATTAACTTCAGGATGTTGCGGCGGTGGTATATCTTCCACTTTGACAAAAACATCCTCATCCGACTTTTGGCTTACATTTCCTGACCCTCCCTCCTGTAAAGGATAAATGAATACATGTGACCCCATTATGGTTACTCAGGGCTTGATTTCTAACTCAGGAGGAGGAGAGTATAGTATACTATATAGGCTTGGAGAGAGTCGTTACTGGCTTGGAGAGAGGTCTGGACGTCATCAGGCTCAGCCTTGAAGTCTTTTTCTTCCTCTTCCTCATTCTCGTCCTCTCTGCTTCTGTAGTTAGTCAGAGCCTGGGTGTCTGCCTTAGACAGGTCTACAGGACCAACACAGACCAAATCAAACACTTCACACAATATCAGAATCATATATGTATTAACCAAGGTGAAATACAATTTTGAAGCTTACTTATTGATAGAAGCAGTCCTTCACTGTCATTCAGATCTTCCACTTCTTCTCCTTCTAAGGCATCATTGCAGCTGTTATCTTTCAAACTAGTCATCCTTTCCCCTGCCTCAGCACATTCTCCCTCCGCTCTGCTTCATCCTTGTCCTAACAAAACACATTCAAGATACAGTCGTTTAGGAATTTTGTAGATGGCAGGGTCTACATCTCAAACGGCACCATGTTCACTATGTAGTGCACTACTTTTGATCAGGGCTATGGTCAGAAGTAGTGCACTACAAAGGGAATAGGGTACAATTAGGCCTGGCTCGCAGTTGGCATTCCAATTGATCCCAAAGGTGTTCGATGAAGTTGAGGTCAGGGCTCTGTGCAGGCCAGTCAAGTTCTTCCACACCAATCTCAACAAACCATTTCTGTAGGGACCTCACTTTGTGCAAGGGGGCATTGACATGCTGAAACAGGAAAGGTCCTTCCCAAAACTGTTGCCACAAAGTTGGAAGCACAGAATCGTCTAGAATGTCAGTGTACGCTGTAGCGTTAAGATTTCCCTTCACTGGAACTAAGAGGCTTGGCCCGAACCATGAAAAACAGCCCCAGACTATTATTCCTCCTCCACCAAACTTTACAGTTGGCACTATGCATTGGGGCAGGTAGCGTTCTCCTGGCATCCGCCAAACCCAGATTTGTCCGTCGGACTGCCAGATGATGAAGCGTGATTCATCACTCCAGAGAACCCGTTTCCACTGCTCCAGAGTCCAATGGCGGCAAGCTTTACACCACTCCAGCAGACGCTTGCATTGCACATGGTGATCTTAGGCTTGTGTGCGGCTGCTCGGCCATGGAAACCCATTCTATGAAGCTCTCAAATACCAGTTCTTGTGCTGAAATTGCTTCCAGAGGCAGTTGGAACTTGATAGTGAGTGTTGCAACCGAGGACAGACGATTTCTACGCGCTACGCACTTCAGCACTTGGCGGTCCCATTCTGTAAGCTTGTGTGGCCTACCACTTTGCGGCTAAGCTGATGTTGCTCCTAGACGTTTCCACTTCACAATAACAGCATATACAGTTGACTGGGGCAGCTCTAGCAGGGCAGAAATTTGACAAACTGACTTGTTGGAAAGGTGGCATCCTATGACGGTGCCACGTTGAAAGTCATTGAGTTCTTCAGTAAGGCCATTCTACTGCCAATATTTGTCTATGGAGATTGCATGGCTGTGTGCTCGATTTTACTAATTTGAAGGGTTGTCCACATACTTTTGTATATATAGTGTATGTAAATTAAAAGGGGAAAAGACAGGACTAAAATAGTAAATATACTTTATCTTCATCTTCCAGTGCTGTCGGGTATGGCTGTTGTTCCGCCAATGATTTTGTCTCCTGGAAAACAATGAATAAATGAAATAACAATTTGGCTGCATTTGTCAAACAGCTATATGATGGTAAATAAAATAAACACATTGTCTAACACTAATACCAACATCAGGGTAGCAGGTCCATTTCACTGCAGGAGCTGTGATGGTGTTGGTGCATTGAATGTTCTGCTTGACTGCTGAGCTGTTCATGTCCTGCATCAGGTGGAAGAAGGCCAGCTCATTGAAGATGATCTCAGAGAGGTCCCCCAGTAGATCACCACCACTTTCTCTCAACGGCCTCCCTGCATACTGAGCCATGGAACTCTGACAAAGGTGAAATAAAGAGAGAGATGGTTTTAAACCCAGTCAGATATAAGTTAATGTCAAAAGACCAATAGGATCAGTTATGTCCCAAATGGCACCCAATTCCCTACATAGCGCACTACTTTTCACCAGAGCCCTACAGTATGGGTCAAAAGTAGTGCACTTTATAGGGAATAGGGTGCCATTTGGGATGCAGACAGGACGTGATGTTTTCTCACCTGCAGAACATCATTGAGCTGTTTGTGGAAGAACCGGATGAATTCTTTGCTCCCGCCCCTTTGCTCTGTCAGAGCCAGAACCTTGTGTCTGATGGAGGCCAGGAGATAAGAAGATCTCCTCCTCTACACGCTCCTGACAACACAACACACACTGTGAGAAATTAAGAAGTTCTTCATTTCAGTTCTAAATAAATCTTTTTCAGCTTAGAAATTGTAAAAATATAATGAGTATACACATTCAGGGCATTGAAATTGCAAGTAGCCTACACCAAGCATTGTGTCTAACTGTGATGAGGTGTGAATGAAGGAGTCAAGCGCAGGAGGTAAAACACCGAAGTCCAGAGTTTATTCCGTTTACATAAATAAAACGCACCAACCGTCAATACGAAACTATTACAAGGGAAATATTCCACCTTGGCAATAACAAATGGAAGAGTAGCTCAACCGAGCTACTCGCTCTCACAATGAAACAATCACTCACAAAGACAAGGGGAACAGAGGGAACACTTATACACATACTAATTAGGCGAATGAGCACCAGGTGTGTGTGATTGACAAGACAAGACATGACAAGTGGAGTGATGAGAATGGGATCGGCAGTAGCTAGTAAGCCGGTGACGATGAACGCCGAAACCTGCCCGAACAAGGAGGGGAGGCAGCTTCGGCGGAAGTCGTGACACTAACCTTCAAAATGGGAAGGATCTCAGCCATGATAATGTTTATCTGCCTGTCAAGTTGTTGAGTGTCAACTTGTGCACACTGGATCTCAGTTAAGCAAGAGTTAGTACCATCACAGGCACCTAGAAAACAGCAGGGTGTCCAGTCAATCATAGCAACAGATCAAAGTTAAACAGACACTTAGACATATAGCATTGACTATTCATTAAGGAGACAGCACTGTTCAAATCCATGAACTGTTCTTACCCAGATCCTCATTGGCAAATGGCTTAAGGTGGGAGGCGATAGACAGCATGCATTCACCTCCTTCTGAGACATTTCTTTTCTGTCTCTTTCCTGAGTAATCCTGTTACAAATCCAATAAACAGTGACATTAATATTATTCTTGTTGTGGTAATTTCGGTCTGGTCATAAAACAAACAAAGGATGTCATGTGTTACATTAGTCAGGTGATTGCAGGTCAGAGAAAAACATACAGCATACGTTGAGAACATGATCTTTCTGGATGTCAGTTCTGTGGTGGCGGAAGCCTGGAGAACAGGGCTGGGAGGCATAGGCTGGTCTTCAGACACATCTCTCTCAGAAAGATGCCGAGCCACTATGTCCTGCAAGTAATGGAAAATTGATTATTATAAAAACAACAATCTCATATGGCTCTTGTATTACCGTGGTGACAATAGCCTATTGTATAACACCTGTAGATGGTAAATGGCACAGTTCAATTGTTCCAGTACCTTCAGGGCGAACAGTGCTCTCTGCCGTAGGTAGTCCGTGTTGAGCAGCTACAGCTTCAGGGCGAACAGTGCTCTCTGCCGTAGGTAGTCCGTGTTGAGCAGCTACAGCTTCAGGGCGAACAGTGCTCTCTGCCGTAGGTAGTCCGTGTTGAGCAGCTACAGCTTCAGGGCGAACAGTGCTCTCTGCCTTAGGTAGTCCGTGTTGAGCAGCTACAGCTTCAGGGCGAACAGTGCTCTCTGCCTTAGGTAGTCCGTGTTGAGCAGCTACAGCTTCAGGGCGAACAGTGCTCTCTGCCGTAGGTAGTCCGTGTTGAGCAGCTACAGCTTCAGGGCGAACAGTGCTCTCTGCCGTAGGTAGTCCGTGTTGAGCAGCTACAGCTTCAGGGCGAACAGTGCTCTCTGCCTTAGGTAGTCCGTGTTGAGCAGCTACAGCTTCAGGGCGAACAGTGCTCTCTGCCGTAGGTAGTCCATGTTGAGCAGCTACAGCTTCAGGGCGAACAGTGCTCTCTGCCGTAGGTAGTCCGTGTTGAGCAGCTACAGCTTCAGGGCGAACAGTGCTCTCTGCCGTAGGTAGTCCGTGTTGAGCAGCTACAGCTTCAGGGCGAACAGTGCTCTCTGCCGTAGGTAGTCCGTGTTGAGCAGCCACAGCTTCAGGGCGAACAGTGCTCTCTGCCGTAGGTAGTCCGTGTTGAGCAGCTTCAGGCGAACAGTGCTCTCTGCGTAGGTAGTCCGTGTACCTACCAGGTGCTCTCTGCCGTAGGTAGTCCGTGTTGAGCAGCTACAGCTTCAGGGCGAACAGTGCTCTCTGCCGTAGGTAGTCCGTGTTGAGCAGCTACAGCTTCAGGGCGAACAGTGCTCTCTGCCGTAGGTAGTCCGTGTTGAGCAGCTACAGCTTCGGGGCGAACAGTGCTCTCTGCCGTAGGTAGTCCGTGTTGAGCAGCTACAGCTTCAGGGCGAACAGTGCTCTCTGCCGTAGGTAGTCCGTGTTGAGCAGCTACAGCTTCAGGGCGAACAGTGCTCTCTGCCGTAGGTAGTCCGTGTTGAGCAGCTACAGCTTCAGGGCGAACAGTGCTCTCTGCCGTAGGTAGTCCGAGTTGAGCAGCTACAGCTGCTGAAACAGCTCTTTGAGAAAACAGGGCCTGGTCTCATCCTGAGATATCACAGTAGCAACCTCAGAGTGGATGGTCTCACGCAACACCTCAAACAATGAACCATCAGTGACCCCCGCATCTGTCAACACACAAATCAACAAACATTCCTTTTAGGTCAATGGCTGTGTCCCAAATGGCACCCTATTCCCTATGCAGTACACTACTTTTGACCATGGGCCCTAGTCAAAAGTGATTTTTAGTTGTATGCACAAATGCATCAGATTCATTGCTCTATAATCCCCTTCACTCACCAGGGGTTCTTCTGTGTCCTCTACTCTGGTTCCTCTTGTTCTTAGACGAGGACAGGCTGTGTTTAGACATGAGGCTGACGGGGGCGGTGGCCTTGTTGGATTTGAGGGTTGTCATTGGGCTGGCGGTGGTGTCCACGGGGTTGGATAGACTGCTGGTGAGAATTCTAGAAGATTTCTCTCCAAACCGACTGCTCCTGCCATTTCTATGGAGAGGAAATAACCTGGAGGTTTTCTGGCTCTTCGCTTTACCACCTAGCTGGTCTGGACTTCCAACATGGACATCCGCCAAGCTGACGGCTCTTGGCAGTGTGCTTCTGTCCTCCTCCTCCTTCTCCTCCTCAGGAACCCTAGAATTGAGAATCCAAGTTGTTCTATTCTGGAATACTGTCTCCATTAACAACATGTATTTAGTGTGCCAACCCAATCAGAAAACATTCTCTCAACTGAGCAGGCACAGGCTTCCACTGTCTCAAATTGAGTGTGCTTTTCAATAACAAATCATGATGTAATTTACCATGAAACAAACAGAGGAGGAGGCAGCTCCAAAAACGGTGATTGCTGTAGGTTTACCATTGTTCTGGCCCATTCATAGAGTGGCTATCAAATGGCTGTGGAAAGGCTGTATCATGAGCTGTCAGCACAGAGGACTTCGGCTCAGCCCACTGCTGCCATCTGGTGCTTGACTGGGGATCTGGTAATTCCCCCATGGATGGGTGAGGTGCAGGACATGGGTCAAATCCTGAAAAGATACAAACAGTTACTGATCAATGATTAATTATAATTAACTATTCATACTTTTTAAACACTTTGTTCTTGTTAAGTCATACAAAATCCCCAGCTTGCATTGAAACCTGGAGAGTTAAATAAAGACCTTGCCTGAGGGAGGATATGAGAAGGTGTTGATGCCACTCATCTTCAAGGTATTTACTGGGGGAGGCAAGGGAGGTTGAGACTGTTGTTCGTGTAGGAGATCATTCAAAAGCTGCCTCATTCTGTTAAATGAAATCATGTTTTAGTTGAAGTGGACAATATGCATTTTCACTACTGAACAGGGAACAAGCCCTTGCATTTGGTCACAGTAATGTCATCGCAAACACATTCATCGCAAATACAGTAATGTCATCGCTGTTTATGGTCAAGGCTTTACTGTATCCCACCTTTGGATGTTGTTCTGTTGTCTGGCCAGCTTGGTGCAGCAGTGGTTGAGTTGGTTCCTGATGAGGTAGACCTGTGTATGTCCAGGGCTGATGCCATAAGGGCTCAGGGAGAGTACAGACTGGAACACATAGGACATAATCTGGTACAATGTAGGAAGAGAGTAGCACACAATATTACAAACTCCTCCTATTCCTCATTATAAAATCCTCATCACCACCACCACCCTCTTAACAGAAACCAGTGCTTTGAAAGCTCAGTTCTCCTGTAAGAGGTGTCTGACCTGCTGGTTCTGTCCCAGTGAGTGGCACACCCTTGTGCTGTAGTCCAGTTGTCTCTGGAGCTGTCTGATCTGCTCCTGTCTCTCCTGTCTCTGCCGTCTCTCCTGTCTCTCCTGTCTCTGCTGTCTCTGCTGTCTCTCCTGTCTCTGCTGTCTCTCCTGTCTCTCCTGTCTCTCCTGTCTCTCCTGTCTCTGCTGTCTCTGCTGTCTCTGCTGTCTCTGCTGTCTCTCCTGTCTCTCCTGTCTTCTTGTATCTCCTGTCTCTGCTGTCTCTCCTGTCTCTCCTGTCTCTGCTGTCGCTCCTGTCTCTGCTGTCTCTCCTGTCTCTGCTGTCTCCCTGTCTCTCCTGTCCTCCTGTCCTCTCCTGGTCTCTCTGCTCTCTGTCTCTTCCCTGTCTCCTGTCTGCTGTCTCTGCTGTCTCTCGTCTCGTGTTCTCTGCTGTCTCTCCTTCTCTGTCTTGCTGTCTCTCTGTCTCTCTCTTTTCTGTCTCTCTGTCTCTCTGTCTCTCTGCTGTCTCTGCTGCTGTCTCTCCTGTCTCTCTTCTGCTGTCTGCTCCTGTCTCCTCGCGTCTCTCCTGTCCTCTGTCCTGCGTCTCTCCTGTCTCTCTGTCTTCTTCTCCTGTCTCTCTGCTCTGTCTCTCTGTCTCTGCTGTCTCTCCTGTCTCCTGTCCTGTCTCTCCCTCTTGCGTTCTCTGTTCTGCTGTCTCTGCCTGTCTCTCCTGTCTCTCTGTCTCTCTGTTCCTCTGCTGTCCTCGTCTCTGTCTCTCCTGTCTCTCTGTCTCTCTGTCTCTCTGTCTCTTCCCTGTCTCTGCTGTCTCTCTGTCTGCTTCTTCTTCTCCGTCTCCTGTCTCTGCTGTCTCTCCTGTCTCTGCTTTCTCTCCTGTCTCTGCTGTCTCTCTGTCTCCTGTCTTCCTGTCTCCTCTCTGTCTCTCCTGTCTCTGCTGTCTCTCCTGTCTCGCTGTCTTCCCTGTCTCTCCTGTCTCTCCTTCTCGCTTGCTCTCTGTCTCTCTGTCTCTCCTGTCTCCTGCTTCTCTCCTTGTCTCTGCCTGTCTCTCCTCTGCTGTCTCTGCTGTCTCCTGCTCCTTGCTGCTCTCTCTCTGCTGTTTCTCTCTCCTGTCTCTCTGTCTCTCCTGTCTCTGCTGTCTCTCCTGTCTCTCTGCTGTCTCTCCTTCTTGCTTCCTCTCTCTCTGCTGTCTCTGCTGTCTCTCCTGTCTCTCTGTCTCTCTGTCTCGTCGCTGTCTCTCTCCTGTCCTCTCTCCTGTCTCTGCTGTCTCCTCCTGTCTCGTTCTCCTGTCTCTCCTGTCCTCTCCTGTCTCTGCTGTCTTGTTCTCCTCCTGTTCTGCTGTCTCTCCTGTCTGCTGTCTTCTGCTGTCTCTCGCTGTTTCCTCTCCTGTCTCCCTGCTCCTCTCTTCTCTGTCTCTCTGCTGCTGTCTCTCTCTGCCTCTCCTGTCTCTCCTGTCTCTCTGTCTCCTTCCTTGTCTCTGCTGTCTCCCCTGTCCTCTGTCGCTGTCTCTGCTGTCCCTCTCCTGCTCTGCTGTCTCTTCCTGTCTCTCCTGTCTCTGCTGCCTCTCGCTCCTGTCTCTCTCTCTCTCTCACGCTCGCTGTCTCTGCTGTCTCCTGTCTCGTCTCCTGCTCTCCTGCTCTTCCTTCTCTCACTGTCTCTGCGTCCTCCTGTCTTCTGTCTCTGTCCGTGCCGTTCTCTCTCCGCTCTCTGCTGTCCCTCCCTGTCCTCGGTCCTGTCTCTCCTGCTCCTCTCCTGCTCTCTCGCTGCTCTCGCTGTCCTCTGCCTGTCTCCTGTTCCTGGACTCTCCTGCGTCATGACATTCTCTCCTGCCTCTCTCACTGCTGCATCTTGCCTCATGCAAATTCTCTCCATGATCTCCTCCTGTTCCACCTGCTCTGCAGATCATCGCTAGGTCTCTCCTATGTACTGAGTCCACCAAGTCATCCATGCCTCTGTCTCATCCTGTCATCCCATGCCCTCTCTGCCGTCATCTCCTGTGCTCTCCTGTAGCTCCTGACAAACTGCTTGTTCACTCTATGACTTGGCTCTCTCATAAACACTGTCTCTCCTTTGTACATCTAGCTGTCTCTAATGTCATCTGCAGCATCTCATCTGATCTCTCCTGTCTCTGCTGTTCTTCCATGCGTCCTTACACTTCTCGATCTGGTCACTACCTCCAGCCTCCACGCTAACAATATCACCAGTCACCTTCTCCTAACCTGACTTCCGACCCCACTGACACCTGGAAAGGGACAGTTCACAATGGCTTCACTGAGGGAAACATTGCTCCGTACATGTCTCATCCAAGAACTCACTTATTCCCTATAAGTCACTGTGGCCCTCATGGCCCTGTCAGATCTCCATAAGTGAATAGGGTGCCATTTGGGACGCAGACATTATCTCCATGTTTTCCTACATCAATAGCAATGTAAAGTGGAATGGGAAACAGTCAATAGCAACCTTTCTCTGGATCCTCTGGTCCTGTTGGACTGTCTCATTCTGAAAGACTCAGAGGACACTTAACTTGAACTGGAGTCCACCTCCAACTCCACCTCCTCCTCTTCCTCAACCCCCATCTCCTAGCCATCTTCCTCCAGCTGACACGGCGTGGATCCTCCCCACGTGGCCATCGTCCTGAAAGGGGACATCCCAACAAATAATTAAGTGATCACTAGAATGGACATTGGCATCCTATCAACATAAAAATCTGCTATCTTGGTCAGGTGAATTTCATTCCAAACTCATTAACACACAAAAACACTGCCAGCACAGGCACAAAGGGTAATGGAATCATCTATGGACTACTTACAGGAGAAAGAGCAACAAGCAAACACAGAGGCATGCACACAGACAACAGATCATCAACCAGGGAAGGCACCTGCCCTGACACGCTTCTTCATCAGAGCAGCAGTCAAACAACGACATGTTGCTGGACACATGACTGAGAAAAACTGGCTTCCACATGACGGCAAGACATTAGCTCAAATACATCACTTCTAAAAGATAATGGTCTCCCAAATGATAACGCAGGCTGCCCTCCAAAGTTATCCCCTTAGTCTAACCTGTCATCCATCCACTGATGCTCTGAGAGCTGCTCCTCCATCCTTTTGTAGGAGTCATTCAATCTGTGTCTCCCCTGATACTCTGCCATTAAAGATTCAGGCCCTGTCCTCTTCTGGCTCAGCTTCCCTCCCAGGATCTGGTGTCGCTGCACCTCAGAGTTAGTCCACAGCTGAAAACAAACAGGGATCAGATCAGTTGGGTATTAGCTATTACGTTTTGGGATGTACTGTGTGTGTACTATGCTGTACCTGTGTCTCGAGTGAACAGGCTGAAGCAGCGTGCTCTGTGTGGTTCATCATGGCTTCACTGTAACTAGGCTGTAAGGGCTGCGCAGGTCGAATGGGCTGCAGGGAAATCTGTGACTCCCTGGTAACTCGTCACACTGGACACAGATACCTGGAAACGTAATGCCACCCAGAATTCACCCTCTAACCATGAGGGATGCTCTCTCTCTCTCTCTCTCTCACACACACGCACACACACACACACACACACACACACACACACCTGGTAGGGAACATGTCCGTGTGAGCTCTTCTAGCTTGCCCTTTAAGTCGATCAGGTGCTGTTGCTCATCATTTAACCCCTTCAACTCTCTCTTCTGCTGCCACAGCCTCTATTCCAAGAACACAGACACAACCATTAATTTACCTTCAGTTTGAAACTATTTGGATCCAGCAGAATGTAGACTACAGAAAGGCACATACCGTACCTTAATCGCTCTTTCTCAGAAACATCTTTCTGAGTAGAACATCTTGAGTTGTAATCCATTATCTTTTGTTAAAGCTAACTAACAAAGGTAGCTAATAAACTAGCTAATAACATGACCAGCTGTCACATACATTGAGGAAGTTGAAACCGTTGTTATGGATACAGAGCCAGTTTAGAATCTTTAGAATCTTTTCAAAATGTTATGATATTCTAATATTCTGATCTTTCCCTATTTAGTACAAGCTGACCTGAATGTCAGTCTACACTTCCCATAACTTGCTTCACACATATTTTGTCCATTATTCTGTAATGTCTGTAGCAAATCAGGTATTCCCTTCTAAGCCACCCCCCTAAACACAAAGGGCAGTAGGATACTTTATTAATATTATCATCAAAAGATATAAACAAAGATTGCAGCTTAATGCCACAGATAAATTGATTATGAATACATACTGTGCCTGTTTGTTTGTAAAAAATAAACAATGTGCCAAAGGGGGTTGTCTGGTTATCATAATGTTAGTTCTTCACTTTCTGACTCACCCCTGTGGATTGTGATACTAGACAGCAGATTTAAGAGGACAAGCTCAACTGGTACTGAGAATCCTCACATTCTTGTGGGGCGGCTATGAAGAGACATCTGTGGAAAGTCTGTTGAAGTCCTTTTTCCACTAAAAGACAAAGCAACTGGACCTAAATATCCCAGTTGTAACTGTGAATATTTCAGCATCTCTGCAGGTAAAATGAGAACCTTGAGGTTGTTTTTCATTGGGCTCATCTTCATCATGGACATGTCCCTTTCGGTAAGTGCTCATTACAAGGAACTATGTCTAAGGTCTACTCTTTCTCATGTTTGGTTGATTTTGATATTGGCCAACTGTAGCCTACTGCAAGGGAACCAAGATCTTTATGTTACTTCTACTACTTGCTATACTGTGTGTGTGTGTGTGTGTGTGTGTGTGTGTGTGTGTGTGTGTGTGTGTGTGTGTGTGTACATGCATACCATATGTACATACACTGAGTGTACAAAACATTAGGAACACCTTCCTAATACTGAGTTGCACCCCCTTTTGCCCTCAGAACAGCCTCAATTCGTCATGGACTCTACAAGGTGTCGAAAGCGTTCCATAGGGATGCTAGCCCATGTTGACTCCAATGCTTCCCACAGATGTGTAAAGTTGGCTGGATGTCCTTTGGGTGGTGGACCATTCTTGATACACATGGGAAACTGTTGAGTGTGAAAAACCCAGCAGCATTGCAGTTCTTGACACACTCAAACCTGTGCACCTGGCACCTACTACCATACCCCGTTCAAAGGCACTTAAATATTTTGTCTTGCCCATTCACCCTCTGACCAACTGTCACATACATTGGGATGTACTGCGTGTGTACTGTGCTGTACCTGTGTCTTGAGTGAACAGGCTGAAGCAGCGTGCTCTGTGTGGTTCATCATGGCTTCACTGTAACTAAAGGCTGTAAGGGCTGCGCAGGTCGAATGGGCTGCAGGGAAATCTGTGACTCCCAGGTAACTCGTCACACTGGACACAGAGGTGCTGCTGCCTACATACAGAATTGAAAATCACTGGCCACTTTAATAAATGGAACACTAGTCACTTTAATAATGCCACTTTAATAATGTTTACATATCTTGCATTACTCGTCTCATATGTATATACTGTATTCTATACTATCTATGCATCTTAGCCTATGTCGCTCTGACAATGACATTGCTCATCCATATATTTATATATTCTTCTTCCATTCCCTTACTTAGATTTGTGTGTATTAGATATTTGTTGTGGAACTGTTAGATATTACTTGCTAGATATTACTGCAGTGTCGGAACTAGAAGCACAAGCATTTCGCTACACTCGCAATAACATCTGCTAACCATGCATATGTGACCAATCAATTTGATTTGATTTGATTTGATTTTGAATGCACACATTCACAATCCATGTCTCAATTGTGTCAAGACTTAAAAATCCTTCTTTAACCTGTCTCCTCCCCTTCATCTACACTGATTGAAGTGGATTTAACAAGTGACATCAATAAGGGATCATAGCTTTCACCTGGATTCACCTGGTCAGTCCATGTCCTAATGTTTTGTCCACTCAGTGTATACAGTACCAGTTAAAAGTTTGGACACACCTACTCATTCCAGGGTTTTTCTTTATTTTTTAAACTATTTTCTACATTGTAGAATAATAGTGAAGACATCAAAACTATGAAACAACACATATGGAATCATGTAGTAACCAAAAAAGTGTTAAACAAATCAAAATATATTTGCTATTTGAGATTCTTCAAAGTAGCCACACTTTGCCTTGATGACAGCTTTGCACACTCTTGACATTCTCTCAACCAGCTTCACCTGGAATGCTTTTCCAACAGTCTTGAAGGAGTTCCCACATATGCTTTTCCTTCACTCTGCGGTCCAACTCATCCCAAACCATCTCAATTGGGTTGAGGTCGGGTGATTGTGGAGGCCAGGTCATCTGATGCAGCACTCCATCACTCTCCTTCTTGGTCAAATAGCCCTTACACAGCCTGTAGGTGTGTTGGGTAATTGTCCTGTTGAAAAACAAATTATAGTCCCACTAAGCGCAAACCAGATGGGCTGGCATATCGCTGCAGAATGCTGTGGTAGTCATGCTGGTTAAGTGTGCCTTGAATTCTAAATAAATCACAGACAGTGTCACCAGCAATGCATCCCCACACCATCACACCTCCTCCTCCATGCTTTACAGTGGGAACCACACATGCGGAGATCATCCGTTCACCTACTCTGCGTCTCACAAAGACAAGGCAGTTGGAACCAAAAATCTCACATTTGTACTCATCAGACCAAAGGACAGATTTCCACCGGTCTAATGTCCATTGCTCGTGTTTCTTGGCCCAAGCAAGTCTCTTCTTCTTATTGGTGTCCTTTAGTTGTGGTTTCTTTGCAGCAATTTGACATGAAGGCCTGATTCACGCAGTATCCTCTGAACAGTTGATGTTGAGATGTGTCTGTTACTTGAACTCTGTGAAGCATTTATTTGGGCTGCAATTTCTGAGGTTGGTAACTCTAATGAACATATCCTCTGCAGCAGAGGTAACTTTGGGTCTTCCTTTCCTGTGGCGTTCCTCATGAGAGCCAGTTTCATCATAGCGCTTGATGGTTTTTGCGACTGCACTTGAAGAAACTTTCAAAGTTCTTGACATTTTCTGGATTGACTGACCTTCATGTGTTAAAGTAATGATGGACTGTCGTTTCTCTTTGCTTATTTGAGCTGTTCTTGCCATAATATGGACTTGGTCTTTTACCAAATAGGGCTATCTTCTGTATACCACGTCTACCTTGTCACAACAAAACTGATTGGCTCAAACACATTAAGAAATCAATTAACTTTTAACAAGGCACATCTGTTAATTGAAATGCATTCCAGATGACTACCTCATGAAGCTGGTTGAGAGAATGCCAAGAGTGTGCAAAGCTGTCATGAAGTCAAAGGGTGGCTAGTTTGATTTGTTTACCACTTTTTTGGTTACTACATGATTCCATATGTGTTATTTCATCGTTTTGATGTCTTCACTATTATTCTACAATGTAGAAAATAGTTTACAAATTAAAGAAAAACCATGGAATAGGTAGGTGTGTCCAAACTTTTGACTGGTAGTGTATGTGTGTGTAGTCTTCAGATGAATGCCAGCAGGAGACAGTACGGCTGCGGGCCCAGCTGAAGACTCTGGAGGTGCAGTTGATGAAACAGCAGCAGCAGCTCATCCAGACTCTCGGCAGCCAGAGGACTGAGCAGCTGGCTTTAGACCAGGACACCTTCCATGACCTGGGAGATCATCAGTATAGAGGTCAATAATCGTTTTTTATCCTTTTATTTCTAGTATGGAGTGGCCAGTAAGGGCACAAATGGATTCCATAATTTATAGTTTCAAACCATCAAATTTGTGAAGTAAACATCCATAACCTCATCAGTAACCTGTTTTCAGACTGTGCCCAGATTTTCAACGCTGGGAACAAAGGCAGTGGGTTCTACACGATCAGACCCATGGCGAGCCCGGGCCTAGTCAGGGTCTACTGTGACATGACTGAAGGGGGCGGATGGACAGTCATCCAGAGACGCTCAGATGGCAGCCAGTCTTTCAACAGGTAAAACACATTCAAATACGATTCAGATGTTATGTAATAATGAGATTACAGTAACATTCTTCTGTATGTGAATGAGTAATGTGTTGTATTCATATCTGATTTGTATGCAGGCCCTGGAGTGATTATCAGCGGGGGTTTGGTGACCTGCAGTCAGCCAGAGGAGAGTTCTGGTTGGGGAATGACAACTTACATTACCTAACTTCACAAGGTAAATGTGAGCTCTTACAACGTCTGAAAAGTCAAGACAAACAGTGAGAGAGTCACAGTGAGATGAGGTATAGAGTTTCGACTAAAGGCTACCATCACCCCTTGGCTTTAGGTGACTACAATCTGAGGATCAACTTAGCTGACTTTGAGGGAGTACAACGCTATGCAGTGTACAAAAACTTCAAAGTTGCAGATGACAAGGTGTTGTATTCTGTGGTTTTCATTTTTACACCTCTGCTCAACAAGTGTCCATATGGAATGATGACGATGTTGTCTTTGGGTGATGTTTCAATCTATCCGTGTTAGTGGGTCATTGGGAAGATCTCAGTTGCACACTCCTCGCGTCCTTTCTCCCTTCTCCTCGTCTCCTTCTCAAAACCTATTGGATGAGAAAGCCAGTGGTCCCTCTCCTCTGACCTTCTCCTCCAATGGGTTTTGAGGAGACAAGGAGAGAGGGTGTGAGTAGGATTAAATTGAGATCTTCCCATGGTCTAGATCAGGGGTATTCAACTCTTACCCTACGAGGTCCAGAGCCTGCTGGTTTTCTGTTCTACCTGATAATTAATTGCACACACCCAGGAACAATGAAAAAATGCAGTGGAACTGGCTTCATGGTCCAGAGTTGAGTTTGAGGGGTCTAGATGGACAACTCATCTGTTGTTTCCTTTAGAAAAAAGGAAAGGAAACAACAGATCAAAGGTTAAACAAACAAGAGGAGGACAATCTCTTTATCAATATGTCAATTGTAGGAAAAACACAAAATAGTACGATGCAACTCATTCCTCCCTCACAGAGTTTTACTTCCCATCCACTTATTACAGTTGCACAGTAGGCTTTTTTTTGGGTTTGCATTAGCTCACTATATTCCCATGATGTTTATCCCCAGGAGTTTTACCAGCTGCATTTTGGTGAGTTCTCTGGTGACTCAGGTGACTCTCTGTCAGGCAGTTACCACCCACAGGACCAGGGGTGGGCCAGTCACCAGGGCATGAAGTTCAGCACCTACGACAAAGACAACGACCGCTACGAACGCAACTGTGCCCAGGAGGACAAGGGAGGCTGGTGGTTCAACAGGTTCCTTATTTTCTCTGTCTGTCAATGGTCTAGGCTACTAAAAGGGCTAATTCTCTCTCTAATCTACAACCATTCGAAGAATACATCATTTGACATTATGACAAATAAAATACACTTTATGATTATTTCTTTATCCTAATTCTTGCTGTTCTGTTTTGTTTCCACTAGATGTCACTCTGCCAACCTGAATGGCAACTACTACCAAGGTGCCTACAGTGCTGTGACAGACAGTGGAGTAGTCTGGTACACCTGGCATGGCTGGTGGTACTCCCTCAAGTCTGTAGTCATGAAAATAAGGCCGGCTGCTTTTGAGCCCAATATTGTCTGATCCTGTGGATACAATCCAATTAAAGTAGGCTAAAACAGTGTATTATTTAGTCACATTTTATCACATAAGCTATGCAAGAAGCAGAAGTGTTTGAATGAATTCCTGATCACAATTATGTGCTCTTATCATTCTCAATAAGTGCCTTGCTTGCAAATCTAATTAAACGATTCCTTAAAATGTTTTACTTGTTGTTTTTCTGTCTCACTGGCGGAGAAAATAAGCTGACTGACTATTCAAATTTACCAAAAAATAAAAACCTGCAGGGAAAGAAGAATAGTCTGTCAACAAAGAAAGATAGACTATTTCAAACAATTTCTAAAAAGATGAGAGTGCTTAGGCTTGGTGACTGTAGTGTGTGCAATAATTAGGCATAGGCCTACTGTCCTAAAACAAAAACTAACTGAAGGCTCCCCACCTCTTTAAGGAATACTTGGGATAGGATAAAGTAATCCTTCCTGAGCGTTTCAAAACCTTGAGTCCTGCTGAACGCACCATAGGGTGAGCGCGAACTCTATGAGGGGCGCGTGCAGCAGGCTGCGGGCATATAAATTCCATGTCGGGATTTGGAAAATCCATTTGATTTGCCCATATCAACTCAAACATGGTTCGTCTTGTGCGTATGATTTTTCTACATACACGCAGCAATTGACACAAGCAAGTGTAAAAAAATAATCAATTCGTTAATTTAGTTTGCAGTAGTCTAGACTTTTAAAGATTTGTGAAAAAATATGATAGTCTAGGAACCTCTAGAAAAAGCAACGCTTCAAATACAATTTGTGCCCTGATTTAGCTGACTAAACTCCACTCCTTCACCGTGGAGGGGCGTTTAGTCAGCTATTATCAGGCCTTGTGGACTATGTAGCCTATTTTAAAGTGCTTTATTTTGATTTGGCCTAATTTCGATGCTTATTAGTTCTAGCAACGCCTATACCCTCCAACCATCAAGGCCCGAGTGTTTTACAGATTGAAAAGTGAAGGAGGCTTCTATACATTTCAAAATGGACTCCTGGCCTCCTAATGGTCATATTTCTGCAAGTCATTTACCAATGGTGGAGTTCGTTTTGCATGGGGTGCCCCAAGTGGGGGAAGATTACTCTTAAAGGGATACTTCGGGATTTTGGCAATGAAGCCCTTTATCTACTTCCCCAGGGTCAGATGTCTCTGCATCCAGTATGAAGGAAGTAAGAGGTAGTTTTGCGAGTCAATGATAACTAGCCTCAGGGCAATGAAAAAGTCTATGGTATCTACTAGCTAGCAATTACCATAGACTTTGTCATTGCGCTAACATTAGTTAGCAATTGTGCTAATGTTGTTAGCAATTGTGCTAATGTTGTTAGCAATTGTGCTAATGTTGTTAGCAACTTCCTTAAAACTGCACACAGAGACACAAAAATGGTATCCAAGAGTACATCTGACTCATTGCCAAAATCCTGAAGTATCCCTTTAAGGATCAATGGTCTAGAATGGTTTAAAACTCCGCCCACCTGGGGCCCTGAGCCATGCAAAACACTCAACCAATCGCATCAGGGTTTTTTTTATTCCCATTGTGATTGGTCACTGAACCCAGGAGGCTGGATTTTGAAATGTATATATCCCTCCTTGACTTTCTTATTCTGTAAACCTAAGAACTTTATGAACTTCCACTTGCCTCAAGAGTTGCCAAATTTCCTCTTCACTTCAGTTTGCTACTCAAATTAATGTGCCTTGGTTGGAGAACGAGGTGGTGGTGCCTGTGAGTAGATGGAGTACAGCTATGACCGGAATTGACTTTTCGTAGCAGGTTAGGAGAGCATTTGAGCTAACCTTAACCTAATTCTCCTAACCTGCTACGTTCATTCTCCTAACCTGCTGTGTAAGTTCTAACCTGCTGCGTAAGTTCTCAAAAGTTATTTCCGGTCGTAGCTGTATACCATCTAGTTAAAACCAGTGGTGTGCCTATGGAGCTATGACCTCATGATTAGTAAGAGGATCCTGAATGAGTTACTAGAAATACACCCAGGGTCTATTCAGGCTATTTTCTCTGTTCTCTGTAATGCTCTCATTCCACTGGCTGTAAGCGGCTTGGCTTGGCTGTTGTTTGGTGTTGCTCATAAGCTGCTCTTCTTGAGAAACCTGAGCTGAGGTTCAGTTCATTAGTTCACTATTAAAACACCCTGTTTCTCTTGGAACCATCCTGAAGCACATTAGGTACTTTGTTGAGATTTTCCATTTTGGGGAATTGGAGGAAATGATTGGAAATAGATCTTCAGTATGCTCATACTCTCATCTATAAGGGAAAAACTCACTAACATTTATTGCTGGCTCCAAACTATTGTTGCATTCTATAATCTAATGTGAAATGCCTATCAAACTAGTATGCATGGCATCTTAGGCTGTGTGTAAGTTCTCTTTGAGTATTGCCTCTTTGCTGACCAGTGCAAGCAAACAGCTTATCAGAGAAGGTTTCTTTATTTACATTGCCATGCAATACCTCAAAGGCTTTTGTGCACAGTAAGCCATATTATTTTTGTAGCTGGCTCTAACTATCCAAATACCATGCCAAGGACCTTGGTTGGCTGTTCCTCTGCAATGGCATGTAGAGTGGAATCCCAAAGCTTGACTTGTGTTCTCTGCCGAGTCCGTCCATGAGCCACATGTACTTGTGATAGATGTTGTCCAGCTGTGCCTCGATGTAGAGATCTGAGCAGCTGAGTCTGACTAGAATAGCCTGGGTGCCTAGGGATTAATGCTACTGCTTGTGCTCTCCACTAGGTGTAGAGCGGCTGGTCTTGGGTGCCTGGATAGATGTAGCAGGCTGGCTGCTGGTGCTCTATTAGTTATTACCAGCTGTGCTGGGACATGAGCAACAGCTGGTCCTGGGGTTAGATTACACTGGTGCCTGGGGATTAGGATGTAGAGCAGGCTGGTGCCTGGATTAGGATGTGAGCGCTGGTGCCTGGATTATATGAAACAGGCTGGTGCCTGGGGGATTGATGCGAGCAGCTGGGTGCCTGGGATTAGATGGAAGCCAAGCTGTGGCCTGGGATTGATCAGGCGCTGGGCCTGGGGATTAGAGCTTGAGCAGCTGGTGCCTGGGGGATTAGGTCTAGATGGTGCCTGGGGATTAGGATGTAGAGCAGCTGGGTGCCTGGGGATTAGGAAAGCAGGCTGGTGCCTGGGGATTAGGATGAAGCAGGCTGGTGCCTGGGGATTAGATTAGAGCAGCTGGTGCCTGGGATTAGGATGGAGCTGGGGCTGGTGCCTGGGGGATTAGGATAGTAGAGCAGGCTGGGTGCCTGGGGGATTAGGATGTAGAGCAGGCTGGGCTGGGGCCTGGGGGATTAGGTGAGAGCGTGCTGGGTGCCTGGGGGATTAGGATGTAGAGCAGGCTGGGTGCCTGGGGGATTAGGATGTAGAGCAGGCTGGGTGCCTGGGGGATTAGGATGTAGAGCAGGCTGGGTGCCTGGGGGATTAGGATGTAGAGCAGGCTGGGTGCTGGTGCCTGGGGATTAGGATGTAGAGCAGCTGGTGCTGGGTGCCTGGGGGATTAGGATGTAGAGCAGGCTGGGTGCTGGTGCCTGGGGATTAGGATGTAGAGCAGGCTGGTGCTGGTGCCTGGGGGATTAGGATGTAGAGCAGGCTGGGTGCTGGGTGCCTGGGGGATTAGGATGTAGAGCAGGCTGGTGTGGCCTGGGGATTAGGATGTAGAGCGGCTGGTGCCTGGGGGATTAGGATGTAGAGCAGGCTGGGTGCCTGGGGGATTAGGATGTAGAGCAGGCTGGGTGCTGGGGATTAGGTGTAGAGCGTGCTGGGTGCCTGGGGGATTAGGATGAGAGCAGGCTGGTGCTGGTGCCTGGGGGATTAGGATGTAGAGCAGGCTGGATGCTGGGTGCCTGGGGGATTAGGATGTAGAGCAGGCTGGATGCTGCGTGCCTGGGGGATTAGGATGCAGAGCAGGCTGGATGCTGCGTGCCTGGGGGATTAGGATGCAGAGCAGCAGTGAGGTTCCATATACCTGTCATTTCCCTTCAAATCCATGAAGGGAAGTGAACAAGTGCACACTTCGGGAGAAAGGAACGATTATTGGGATACCACCACTGTGATGGCATTGTTTGACCTCTGCTTCAGTTCATAGTGTGTAGAACAGGTGTAAACCTTCACTGACTGGATTTACTTGATTAACTCCAGTAAGGTGCCACTTGTCTCATTTCCACCTGCCATGGTCAGAATTCATCATCATTGGCGTTTGAACACAGGTTTTCTGTTATCACATCCCTGATTTACAGGAAATCTATCCTATGTCACAGTCTTGTAGCGTCACTCACTGACACTGCATGCATGGGGCACAATGAAGCACATTCACTGGTTAGCCTAGCTAGTTGTTATGTTCCACGAAGACAAAGCTTGTGTGTTCCATCTTCATTTCTATCTGCCCACAAGGGTCACACTGAGAGCTGAAGATAATGGGGCATTAATCTTGTAATAATTATTTTGGAATTTTTCTTCCCAGAGCAATTTTCCAGGAAGTATCAGATGTATATCAGATGTTTTTAGAGGTCCTATGACTGAGTCGGGCGGGGGGGATAGTGTTTCATACCCTGCTATTTCAGATTGTAACAATGATCTTCTAAATTACATTTCGGCCAGGCTCTGCTGAGTGTGTGGGCAGACTGTGCTCCGCTCATCCAGACCTAATCACTGTTCACGTTGGAGGAGTCTGGGAGGGAGCTGGACTGCTGCTGTGTTGGAACCAAGCCTCACAGGGCTCACAGCTACAAACTGATGAGCTCCGGTACACACTCCTCTCTCTCATGTTCTCCAGGCTGATGATGGGCACTAATTACAGGCAAAATTGTTACATAATAGAACTTTGCAACAGAAACACCAAACTGTCCCCTGGGTAACTCCAGGTAATCCTATTTTGTAATCCCTTTAGGAAATGGTTTGGGACGGGAGCTCTTCCAGTGCTGGTGGCTCGGGTTGCGTCTCGTTGCTTGCCGAGATGATGGGTCCTCAGGCCA